TCTAAGCAGGTGCTTTAGACCACTGAGCCATCTCACCAGCCCTATAAATACATTTAGATTCAGCTTCCAGAAAGATATCCCTTCCTAATATGTCCAACACTGAACACTTTCCTAAGCTTTTCCCACACATTCTTCAGAAACCTGTTCAGCCTGCACTGCCTAAGACTACGAACAGTGTCACCTACTCAAATGTTCAAATCAACAGCCTGGGAGTTGCTTTTTCACCTATCACACTAAGCAGCCATCCAGTCCTGTTTTTTCTACCCCCCACTTTAGTTTCTCTCAAATGTATGCCTCACCTCTATTTTTTCACTACTTATACTGCTTTAGGCGAGGCCTTTACCGCATCTCATCAAGATTCTAACCCATGTCTTCTAACTAGACTGCTGTGATTTAAGTATAGATTGCTCCTTCCAAAATTCATGTTGAAATCAATCCCCATTAGGAGATCTTAAGAGATGGGACCAGCTAGGAAATAAATAGGGTTCTGCCTTCATGAGTGGATTAACCCATTATTGGACTGATAGATTAATGAGTTATGTCACTAGTGTTCTGCTATTAAAAGCCAGTTTGGCTTCATCTCATACCATGATTCTCCTGTCACCTCAGGACTTGCTAACAAGACCATTAACAGATGTTGGCGCTCAACCTTAGACCAGAAACGTGAGCTAAAATAAACCTCTTCTCTTCATAATGTACCCATAATGTACTGTGTTGTGTCATTAGCAAAAGAAAACAGATAAGACACAGACTCTTCCTCTAGTCTTATCCTTCTCCAACCCATCTTCTACCCTTATCTCATATGACTCCATTCACTTAAAATCTTTCCCTAATTCTTAACTTTCTGGGTCCTCTACCTTGAGGAGCAAGCATTCTCCAGAACCTCAGGCCTGGCCATGTCCACATGCCAATGATGGGGCACAACAATTGTTGCTGAGATATTCTACACACTTGTCTCCAGACACAAAGTACGATTGCCAAATAAACAGGGCATGTGACATGATCTGAGGTTTTGCATGGTGAACAATACAACACAGGATACATTTTATAAGTTATTTTATAATGAATCTCACAAAGAATCATATACAAAGAATGCAGCAATCTCTCTATACACTAAATACCAAAGAATTCAGCTGAAGCCCTGGATCCCACAACAGTGTCCTATATGCATCCAGCTGAAGACCTAGGGCTCACAACAATGCCTCCCACAAATCCAATTGGAGGCCTAGAGCCTGAGACAATGTCTCATACAGGTTGGCTTCACAGATCTGCACTGGCAAGGCCCAAAGGTCAATGGTGGAAGCTACAAAGTCCATGCCAGCAGGATAAAGGATCTGTGCTAGCAGGCTGAGGGATCTGCACTAGAGCCAGAAAGCAATGTTCAAGGTAAGAACCAGAGCTCCCCTAAAAAGCATCACAGTCACCCTAAGCAACAGTGAGGTCCCTAGCTCCTCCAGGAATGAGGAAAGATGAGTTTCCATTAGGAAAAACAATGTGACATGCTTTTCCAGGAGGCTGAGCAGTGCACAATCTTCTCCTCCAGAGCCAGGAAATAATGCTCAAGATAAAGACCAGAGTGCCCCAAAAGTGAACTACAATGACTGTAAGTGAAAATGAGGTCCCAAGCTCCTCCTTCAAAAAGAACAGCCAAGTTTATCAGGAAAGCCAGCATGATGAAGTCCTCCAGCAGAACCGCCAAGAAAATTAGCTCCCCAACAGCTTCTCTAAATAACTTCCCTAACAGCCTCTCCCAGCTCTTCTCCATTTCTGCCTCTTTTGCTGCTGGCAACAATCCTCAGGTGGGCCTCCACACTAGTTCAATTGAGTTGGGTGAACAAGTTGACCACCAGTTAACAATCTACTACAGCATGGCACTACATAATTTACTTAAATAAATGAAAAGGCTTTAGTTAAACATATTACAGAAATAAACCATTCTTAGATGACTAAATTTTTAACTATCTGATTATATTTTACTAAGTGCCAAAATATAAATGGCTTTGTCAAGGGTTCCAGCTAATGGGTTTGGGTATTTTATGTATATATAACATTCTATTTAATTGCCTTTAAATAGAAAACAATATAATTAGTATGACTTCTATGATTCCAAACCTGAAATTCCTTAGGGTCATTCCTTCAATTAAAGTCTCCCTTTTTTTTTTTTTTGAACCGGGGATTGAACTCAGGCCCTTGCGCTTGCCAGGGAAGTACTTATTCCACTGAGCTATTCCCCCGGCCCGGTCTCCCTTATTTGTAATGGAAGGAATAAATAACGAAATTTTGTTTAAAAGGTACCAAGTCCTACATATTTGTAAGTAACTGTTTTATTTTAGCATTAAATTTTTTGTGGGCTTTAAAAGAAATATTTACAATCTCAAAATTGTAAAGATTTACACCAAGAGTTTCAATTAATTAGCTAGGTTATAACTAAATAATATTTTATTAATGCAGCGTTATGCACAACACTATTATCTTCCCCAAAATTCCAGATTTCCTGGGTAGTTACCTTTTAAATAAACTAATACTTTGTGTGTGTGTGTGTGTGTGTGTGTGTGTGGTACCAGGGGTTGAACTCAGGCCCCTGCGCTTGCCAGGCAAGCGCTTATTCTACTGAGCTATCTCCCACCAATACATTTTAAATGACCAACATTTAACAAAGTGTTATATTCCTGTCACCAGGCTCAGCCCTTCATATAGCCTATTTTCACTGCTGAACCATCTAATGACTGCATCAGGCATATTCTACTCACATTTAGTAAAGGACAAAGAAACAAAAAGAAAAGACTGCTTTGAGCCAACTTAGAAATCTTAAGCAAACAACTCAAGATCAAGCAGCCAGTATGCAGCAGGACACAGATCCACCTGATTCAAGTGGTTCCCTGCTGCTCCCCTAAGGATAGATGGAGGAGGGTCGCAGACTACAGGATCCTGGACGAGCTACAGTTTTTCTGAGCCTCACTCTCTGTCTGCTAAATGAGGGTAACAATAGGACATACCTTTGGGTAAGTACTCCATAGCTCTCATCTGTCACTGTCGAGTGTCCTATCATGCTCAGTATAAACATTACTCCCATGAAGTACAATAAGCTTGTCTAAGAGCAAGTCTAGCAAGCACAACTAGTGACTATTGATGTTTAAGCTTTTCAAGTTATACCACCTTGTCCACATCGACTCACACGTCATTTCAGTGTAAGCACTACGGTGTGAGCACAGCACACTACCTGAGGCTCCAGGACAGACTCATGAAGGACGGCCTGGGTAACAGGGTCTTGGTTCACCATGATGGGACCATGAGAGGGATCAGGAGCCATTGTTACATTTGGAAACCCTGCAGAAGGAAATAAGTCATGATGACTTTGTCTCATTTAACTGACTTCACAAATTCTATACTGCTATAGATTTGTGTTTGCACAAGAAAATCTCAAATAATAATAGCAGCAGCTCACACTGAATAGGCCTACTATACACTATCACTGCTTTCACACTCACAAAATGCCACACAGTACGTATTATTTTATAGATCAATAAGCTGAAACTTAGACTATAAGCCACTAGCTCAGTTACTCTAATAAACAGTTGACACAAGACTTAAATTTTATACTAAAACTTGTTTTTTGAGAAATTGAAACAAAAAATTAAGTATATACACATCAAAATGAATAATGTGCATCTGATGGAAGGCAAAGTCTCTTTTAGGGAGAAAGTGAAGTTTTCAATTTTAAGCTTTAGATTTCAAATTAAGCCTCACTCAGATTATACATCAGAGATGGTGAACCTTTAAAAGCCTACGACAACAGCCTGCTGCAGCACATGTGCCACAGGTTCACCACCACTGTTTCACATATGTATTTTTTAATTTTATAGTAAAAAACTGAAAATTGTCAAGTTTAAGCTAATGAAATACTGCACATTATGCCATATTTTAGTAGATAATAACAATTTGCCTCTCTTTAGCTGAATAATTTGCAATAACCAGTATCCTTTGTAAATAGCAAACAAATCATAACAATTCTCCCCCTACAAACCCTGTATTTAATCTATCCTGAACATTTGCAATATATAATAATATTATACCTGAAAAAGAACATTAAATTCTTTCAAATACTCAGTAAGGAAAAGATGCTTTTCTCTGAATCGAATACCTGTGCGCCTGCAAGGAGCATCAACAAATAGATTTCTGGCTGCAGCCATCAAATGATCAGATTTCTCCAACACATCCTGCATCTGGTATTGATCAGAAAGAATCTAGACATGCGTTAATGACAATTATGATTCAGAAACAAAACGTTTACTTTTCAAGTCACACAAAAAAAGCATATATAAGGAAACTGCATAAAATAACCACGAGTCACCATGTCCCTCAAATCCTTCAGTGACGATATCCTTAACTACCAGAAGATGGGGCTATTGCAATTGTTAATGGCTTTCAAATAACCAAAAAAAATTGCATTAAATTATGGCCCACACAAATATACCTGTATATGTAACAAAAATTTTATTTAACCTTTCTCTATGAGAAATACTTTTAGATTTTAATTTCTATTCTATTTTTAAAATAACCTACTAACTTAATTTCACAATTCATTAACAAATTAAGATCAGCAGTTCAAAAAACACAAATTAAAGACTGTTACAATCTTAAAGGTGTTTCAATCACTAAAATAATGTCATAATGTATAATAGGTGATAATTAAAACAATTCAAGATGAGCTTTAGGATTAAACAAATGGGAAGCGTATATAGCAACTCTTAATGGACATGAAAAATCTAATATCCAATACCACAATTTTAACAGGAGACCTTAACACCCCCTTATGGGATGCTTTTGTGTTTATGAAGAAGTTGGTTTTCTGTCGAGGAGAAGTATGAACTAAGAAAGTCCCTGTAACTCAGCCTCTGATCATGTGCTTTCCTCTTAGGCGGCTGCATAATTCTAAATTAAGGCCAGAGGCTAGAGTAAAAAGGAAATCAATTCTATCTACGACCACCAGGTGGCACTTTTAAATTGAAAGGAGTCAAAATTGTTGTTTGGTAACAAATGCTCTTACCAGGCTTTCTCTATATCAGAGAATTGTATGTGACCATAATTATGGTTTTAGGACACAGAAAGTTAAGTTGTATTCTTATTTTTCCCTTCTCTCTTCCCACTAGACCTAGCCAAGCAAATCAGCTATTCAGCTGGTGAGAAGAGTTCTGAACTCATTCCTCCCATAAAGACCAAGCTTTCGAATGTCAAGGCCAAGAGCACAAGATGAGTTCTAGGTCCAGTCAAGGAAAAATAGGCAAAATCCAACCTCTTTAAACTTAGGTTTCCTGACATAGCAATGGAGACACAACCACCTCCTTAACCCCACATGGGTATGACAGCCTGGTGGACACACTGAAAACCTGCCTGGCACTCTGGTGATGTTTGAGCATGCTACCACGCTATAAATTACATTACCCCTGAAGCAATTCTGTATCCCAGAATACAGAGATATTATCTTGCAAGTACATGAAATTAAAAGTTTAGGAAAAAATGTAAAAGTATCAGAATCTATTAAAACATAATTACAAAAAGCTGATGTTGGGCCAGCCAGATAGCTCAGCAGATTAAAGTGCCTGCTGAGGCAGACATAGGAACTGGGGTTCGATCCCTAGCATGCCGTGTGGGCCCCGCCCCCGGGGTGACCTGTCACTGGGCATGGTGGCACGTGCCTATAATCCCAGCATGTGGGTGGCTGAAAACAGGAGGATCACTGAGTATATTCTGTGTAGAGAAACCCTACAAAGCTGATTTCATAACATTTAAAATAGCTGTTATGAAATCAGCTTTATTTTATTTTATTTTATGTATTTAGTAGGCCCTGTACTAAATACATAAACATAAAATAAAGCTGATTTCATAACAGCTATTTTAACTTAAAGAGTTTACTATAAAAAGAGAACACTGATCCATCAGAATAATTATTAAAGACCTCAAACAAACAGAAGCAGACTGGAGGAATACTCTACCAATCATATTGAAACCTGATATTAATGAGGTCTCAAGGAAAGCTACTGCCCTGCCATCTTCTGCAGTCTCTGCTCAGGCTCCTTGGAACAGATGGCTTGAGTGGTCAATAGTAGCAATGCACTGTCCTTCCTTTGCTCTTCCTAGATTTATCATTTGCCTCTTAAAACTCGTTCTTTTGACAGGTAAGCTGATCTGCACAAGCCCATCTGCACATACTGCAGTACTATCCCAAATGCGTTTGCAAATTACAAACTGCAACTGGTGGTAAAGTTTGGATTTCCAAAGGTTAGCCAGGGTCCCTGCCAAAACATTACCAGAAACTCCTCTTTCCTCCCTTTTTTTCCCTCTGACCATAGAAACTAAAAGGAAATGAGAAATTACAAAGGGACTTCAGGAGTATTACACTTTTGGAATCTGTGAAATCCTTATGAAAGCTTCCTTTCTCTTAAGCACAAACATTTCATATTTAGTATCACTGAACTAAAAGATGTACTTCATTTTGACTCGGTGATTCTTTAATAATTTAGCCTATAAATATACACATCCCCCAAAACATATTCAAGAACCTATCACCTATTTATGGTGGCAAGGCAGGAGGCAATGTGGGTAGCATACACTGCTACTTATCCTCCAACATTTCTTCTTCCTCTTTGCTGTCAACAGCAGCACCCCCAAGATCTAGCCAAGTACACAGCAAGAATTCCCAACCATCTTCGCAGGTGAGAATGACCATGCGATGACTTCCTGGTCAACAAGGTACACACCAAAGCTTCTGGAAGGGAATGAACTACCTTCTCTACTGTTGGTCTGCATACAACTGAAGGAAGCTGTGACAGCCACCTGTACTCAGAGACAGAAGCTGCACAACGAGGGCTGCAGACCCATTTCCCAGCTCCTGCACCTCTGAACTGTTTCAAGAGACAGAAATAAATCTCTATTTTGTTCAAACCATTTTAATCTGCAGTCCTTTTTTTCCCCCCTGAAGTTCAATACTATACTCTAATGTATAGCCCAAGTGGCCATCAATAAAATACTGACAAATTACAGTAAATCTATAGACCATGTGGTTGTTACAAAGAAAAGGTAAAACCTAGAGCTGCTGCTCACTGTTAGTCATTTCTCTAGCATGTGCAAGGCCCTGGCTCTGATCCCAGCACCACATTAAAAAAAAGAAAGAAGAAAAATGGACCTTTACACACTGACATGGAATAACTTTCAAGATATATTGTTAAAGGGAAACAAGTGAACTCCATTAAGAGGCTTTCAACCCTACAGAACATTAAAATTATTCAGAAAACTGTCTAAAAATATCTCTGTTGAATCCCTGTTTCTATTATATTTAATACTAGAGAAATTCAGGACATGAGAAATGGTTAGAGAGGTAAAACTAAGGCCCAGAATGTGACCCACTGCTGTGGGGTTCCCTTTTCCTGGATAGAACTGTGTCTTCAGCCCTTTCATTTAAATGGCATGAACTGTCTGAGATCACACGTTACTTATCTGTAAAAGAGCATTTTTTTCTCTCAATCCACTATTCTTTTCCCAGGCTCATGTAAACATTTATTTGGGATGTATAATCCTTCCTGATATGTGAGACTGAAGCTTTCTTATTCCACCAAGAACCCTATGTTCTCAAAAGACCATGATTTAAAGCTGACACAAAAGGTCACCCAGACTGCCCAGTGCCGTAAGCTTTAACACAAATAAGAAGCAATGTTACAAAGCACATTTCTTTACAATGATTTCAGCTCAAATCTAAAAAAGTGGTTTTGCTGTAGTTTCCTCTTATTTCCCAGATTGTTTATCCCTACATATTTGATTACATAGCCAACATTCTACATCTGGCAAAAAGTTAAGCCTAAAATAAATGGATTACTACCTCCTTGAAAGAACACACAGCATTCTTTTATTTACTTAGTTTTGCTAAGTAATCTAACAGCAGTGCTACTGAACCAAAGAAAAATAACTGTTATTTTTCTATACATAAACTAACAATAGTTTATGTATAGAAGAGACTATTTATGTGCCAAGGAGCACATTGATCACTTCAAAATATTATCTAAACACTTCAAAGATGGGACAATTCAGGCTAAGAAGTTCAATAATTTAAGGTCGCAGAGTTAGTAAGTTACACAGCAAGAATTCAAACCACACTAGACTCCAATCATCATTTTGCTACTTTTTTCAAAGTCTACATACAAATTATAATTCTAAAACACAGTGAATGCTTAAATTTTTAAAATTGCAATGAAATACATTGTGTCATTCAGCCCCTTCAAAATATTCCCCCATGGAAACTGGGTGTGATGGCGTGTGCCTGAAATCTCAGTGCTTGGGAGACTGAAAACAGGAGGATCACATCTGTGTAGAGTCCCTGTAGATCCTGTAGACCCGATACCAAATACATTTACAACAAAAACCCTAAAAATACACATTAATCACACTGTTCTTGCCACTTTCTGAAGCCGTTCTGGAGGCCCCCTTCCATGGGTGTCTTTAGTTGCACTGTCCTGGTGGCCGTGATGTCCTCAAATGATTAACCTTCCATTGTGATTTTTTTTTTAAATTTTATTTATTTATGTGTGTGTGTGTGGCCAGCTCAGCACACCAGGGGACGGGGCTGACTGGCATGTGGTGCTGGGGGATTGAACCGCAGTCCCTGTGCTTTGCTAAGCTTGTTCTAAGTAGGTGCTTTAGACCACTGAGCCATCTCACCAGCCCTTCATTGTGATTCTGAGGAAGAGCCAGAAGTCACACGGTAGCAGGTCCAGTGAATAAGACAGATGACGATAACACTGTGACATTTTTCCAAGACTGTCTTTCCATTCCAGGGCACTGAACAGCAGCATCCACTGTATTTTTATCATATCGCTTAAGGATGCTCACAAAAGAGGACTTCCAGGACTGTTCCAGAAAGTGCAAGAATGGGATAAGTCTGTTCAAAAGGAAGGGGAATATTTTGAGGGGGATTTATAGCAACATGTCTATTGTAATAAAGTTTTTATGTAAATATATATTTTGTTTGATTAGTTTTTTTGAGACAGGGTCTTAGTACATAGTGTTGGCTAGCATTAAACTTGCTTACATAGCTCAGGCTGGCCTCAAACTCACTGCAATCCTCCTGCCTCAACTTTCCATGTGCTGGAATTACAGGCATACACCACCACACACAGCCATATTTCATTTTATGATCAGCCTGTGTAGATCACTGTATGAAGATGCAATTACTAGTCTCTCTAAAGTGAGTCAATCTCTTTTTTCAAATTCTTCATTCATATTAGCATTACCTCCTTCATGATAGACAATCTAGTTTTCTCTAGATTCCAAGTTTCTGGTTTCTGCTTCCTGCATTTTCTTCTCAGAGCTTTTTCTTGGAGTTCCCAGTGTACTAATGCCCTATTCTTTGATTTGTGTATTTCATGACGACGAACCTATATAGAAAGAAAAAAAAAGAAAAAAATATTTTCAGCAACAAGTAAGTTGCCTAGCCAGGGATGTAGCTCAGCAGCATAAGCACCTGCTTGGCAAGTACAAGGTTTTGAGTTTGATTACCAGCACTAAGAGAGAGAGAGAGAAAAAAAAAAAGAATTTGCCTATGCAGATGGTAGGATCACCTACTCATCCAATTCATCACTTTCTAATTTTTTGGTTACACATATACATGTTTATATATATATTTATAGCCAATTTTTTCACAGTCTTCTAAATTTTCAAAAGTAATCTTTAAAAAAAAGAAGTACTGCCGGGGAGTTAGCTCAGTAGAATAAATGCTTGCCTGGCAAGCACAAGGGCCTGAGTTCAATCCCCGGTTCTGCAAAAAAAAAAAAAAAAAAGAAGTATGTAGAACTAGTATATCTACCTAAAAGACATACTGAAAACAGTATTAATTTCAATTTTTCTCCAACACTATCCAATAAACTAGTGTTTTTCAAACCATGGGTTAGGTCTCATTTAATGGGTGGTAAAAATCAATTTGTGGGTCAAAATTTGACATTTCTCTCTTTCCCCAAGCATAATGTAAAAGGCACACTAAGTCATCTTTGATGAAAACACATCATTTTTGTGATAATCACTTCACTATTGAGAATTAACTGTGCAGCCCTTTCACATTTTCATGTGGAAGTGAGGCACAGAAGTGGTAGGAATGCAAGGAAAGTGGAATTCCTGGGACAAGGAGAAATGAACCACAGGTCTTAAGGAAGCAGCCAGGTGTAATGGCACATGCCTGAAATTCTAGGCTAGTGAAAGGCTGAGGCAGGAGAATCACCATTTTAGCCCAGCCCAGACAACTTAGCAAGACTAGCTCAAAAATCTTTAAAAAGAGGACTGTGGATATAACTCAGTGTATTAAAGAGGGGACTGTGGATATAACTCAGTGTATAGGTTCTGTGTTCAATTCCCAGTACCAAGGAGAGGAAAATATGAGTTACAAAGGAAGAATGTGTTGGGATAGTTAAGGAAAAAAAGCAGACATCTGACTTTATAGGTAAGTACTTTAGTATTCACAACTCAGTGTAAACAAAACTCAATCTGATAATTACTGAATTTTCACCATGTAAATAAGAAATGAGTCCATTAACAGACTAACAACTAAACATTATGCGAGGGCTGGAGAGATGGCTCAGTGGTCTAAAGCACCTACTTAGAACAAGCTTAGCAAAAGCATCAGGGACCGCGGTTCAATCCCC